AAGTTTGATTGGGATGAATTGATTCCCTTAGAATTACATACCAAATAGAAGCGTTTTGAAACGGAGTTACAGGAAACTGCATACACATTCCTCGTCTTGTCACAACTACAGAACAACATCTCGTTTGGAACTATATAGGTTCTCAGACGTTAGCGAAATTGCATACGGAGCATGCATCTATTTACGCTCCACTTCAATCAATGGTGCTTATTGCACACACCTATTTTGCTCCACATCTAGAGTGATATCATTAAAGAGTTTGTCACTTCCGCGCCTCGAATTATGTGGTGCATTGCTACTAGCTCGGCTTATCAAGATCTACAAAATCTCCAAATGTCTTACGTATCCAATAACATCCATTTATTTATGGACAGATTCTACAACTGTACAATACTATCGTGGTTGCAATCGTGCAGTCGATCATGGTCGACTTTTGTAGCACACCGCATTGGTGAGATACAAGAATTAACATCGATTCACCAGTGAAATCACGTTCTGAGTGATGACAATCCTGCGGATCCATTGTCCCAGAGAATCATGCCGGGTTCCCTAGTTCAATTAGAAATCTGATCGGGGCCTTCCTGGCTGGGGCGTGACAGAGAGAGCTGGCCTCAAAGGGCTCTTCCTGCAGATATAACTAACGAAGATATCCCTGAATGAAAACCTAAGGCTATCCGCAGTAAGCGCTAGTGCACAAGAACCTAACATATTCTATCATATTCAAACATATTCAAACTTTAACAAGCTCATTCGAGTCTTTGCGTACATGATTCGTTTTATAAAAAGATCCAAAGGTTCGAAGGATTTGTCTGACCAACCTTAAGAGGTCTCATCTTTGCAGAATAAGGATATTCCATCTATATCTTTTAATGAGCAATAACAGGCAATTTATCGTCTAATCAATATAAGCGAAGCATTTTTTAAATGAAATAATGTCACTTAGCAATCACAAGGCTGTTCCCACAAACAGTCCTATCTTAAAATTAAATCCATTTCTTGATGATTCTGGCATCTTACGTGTCGGAGGTCGTTTAAGAGAATCCTCCTTATGCCTCCAAACATCCTATGCTGTTGCCTGGAAATCATTCATTTTCCCGCCTAATTGTGGTACACGAGCATAAACGACACTTTCATGTCGTACCGCAAGCTACTCTAGCCGCAGTGAGTACTGGCTCATTTCAGCGCGTAAGTCATTCGACAAATTCTAAGGAAATGCATCGTCTGTTTCAAGAGTTCGCCAAAACTCGCTTCCGCTATTATGGAAAACTTACCGGAACCGCGGGTTAAAACTTCTTTAAAAATATTTGATCAATGTGGAGTGGACTATGCCGGCCATCTCTATTACAAGGAAGGTGCTAGAAGAATCACTAAGCTGGTGAAATGCTACATCGCAATTTTTATTTGTTTAGCCACCAAGGCAATGCATATCGAGTTAGCGTCTAACTTGTCAGAAGCATTTCTAAATGTCTTCAAGCGGTTCGTAGCAATAAGAGGTTGCTTTTCAAACATCTTTTATGACAACGGATTAAACTTCAGCGCTGAACGCGAATTAAGCGAATTAAGAGATCTACTTCGTAATAAGTCAACTCAACAACATAGGATCAGATCCTAAATTTGAGAGTTCAATGGCACTTTATCTCACCTCGGTCCACTATGGAGGTCTATGGGAAGCTGCCGTGAAAGCGACCAAGCGACATTTGGCTCGCATTACAAAGAATTTCAATCTGAAACGCGAGGCTCTGGAAACATTACTCATCCAGATTGAAACAATATTGAACTCATGTCCGCTCATTCCTCTTTCAGTGGACCCCAATGACTTCACCTCTCTAACTCCGGGACACTTTTTAGTGGTACATCTCTCACAGCTTATCTCGAGCCATCTCTGGGCGAGGTACCTGTAAATCTCTCACGATGGCAATATATACAACTATTACGTCAGCACTTGTGAAAGCGGTGGACACATGAGTACCTTCACCAATGCCAGGAACATAACAAGTGCCTTGTCACGATGCGTACTGTTAACGGCAGTTGCAAACGACCTATTACTCGTCTCTGTCTACTTCCAATTGAAAACTAAAATCTGGTTATGACATTTTAAATTTGACGTTTTCTATGCAACTCATATTGTCTATGTTCATTTTTTATTATTATTATTAGGTGTTGGAATTAATTCGTAGCGTTTTACAAGTGATGGGAAGTACTTTCATTAATGTATTTTTTAATGCTCATGTGAAATAAATAACATTCTTTCATTAAAAAACGCTACGAATTAATTCCAACACCTAATATTTTCATCGTTTGAAATATGATGTTATTTTGGTTATCAATTTCATTCATTTGTAATTATTGAAAGGTGATCCTTTCAAGGGCGGCGATATGTTGGCGCTTGTTAATATAAGCGCTTGTTAATATCTAGCTCAGCCGATCTAATACCAGTACGTCGGCTTACCGACATGACAACAGCATTCCCGTGGCGCTGGTAAGGTCCACCGAAGGGGAGGGCATGCGCGCGACTATGCTGCCTGCGAGCGAATCCGTTGTGTTACTCGCCATTGTTGTATGTGCGACCATCCTCTCATGTTCACGTGCGTGATCGGTGAGCAAGCCGGCCTTTTGATATTATATAGCGCGAATTATAACCTAAGATGCATTAAAATATTTTCTCACAAAGTAAACTGCCTCATTTATTACGCGCTGCCGAATCACATCGGGTGTGGCCACAGGGCAAGCGACACAGATCGTCGACAAGCCACAGGGCACGAGACACAGGTCTCTAACGAAGAGAAAACCGCGTTCCACTTAATACAACAAGGACAACACGGTCCTTTCCCTAACAATTTTTCTTCTTCGAAAATTTTGTCCAATGCTTAGTTTTTAAATTATTAAGGGAAATAACCAATAATTAGCCAATCACGAGTCAAATACAAGAGATAGGTAGGGACGATGCAATTCGCTGTCAGATATGGATGCTTACGCAAGATAATTGCTACGATCAACTTGATGGTTTCATACAATAGTATGCACACACATTAATACATTATTGAAAAAGAAATACAAAATTCTCTCTCTTTCTCTCTCTCTCTCTCTCTCACTCATTCGCTCACGCACTCACTAACTCTTTTACTTACCATGTCAAGATGATTTAATCATTCTAAATTACTATGAGAAAAGCCGGAATTCTGATGAACTTTCCGATAGAATTCCAAGTGGACTTCCAATTAAGTTTTTCTTTTAATAAATTTAAATAATCACGCACAACACTAACTGTATACCTACTCGATCTATTATGCATTCGTTTAAGAAAATGAGAAATTTATTAATGAAATTGAATTAATCACTATCAATCACTGCCGATTAATTATTTAATTGCGGCGAAAATCATGAGAAGAAACATATGTTTTCATCATACAACATACTTTTACGAAGAAACATACGTATATACAACACACCTGACGATAGCAAGCAGTCGACTGTCTACTAATAAATCTAAATCTCTTAATTAATCACTATAAATCACTGTCGATTAATTGTTTGGCGATAGAAAAACACACGTTACTCGACGACAAGCAGTCGACTGACTTTACTAATAAATCTATTAATTAATCACTATTGATCATTGTCGATTAATTGTTTGGCGATCGAAAACGGCGTGTAAAAACACACGTTACTATTACACAATACGCAAACAATGGCAAGCAGTCGCGCACTGAATTTATTGATTATGGTTGAATAGTCAAATGCACGCAAATTCACATGATCATAGTGTAATCTGACTTATGCATTATATCGACTTAATGCATTAATTTTATTACGGGTTAAGTTAGATTACTATGACCAAAAAAGATTCTTCATAACTGAAGTATCGCTGTTTTACATGAACGCATGATTAATTGAAGCGTCACAAAAATTCAAAATGTAATAATTCCAATTGCAAACGATAAAAAATCAATAATGAACTAATATTGTATGTTACTCGTTTTTGCATAGTTAATATTCTTCGCATATTCTTCGTTAATATTCTTTTTCTGATGAAAATTTTTCTCATAATTTTTATACGAAATGGAACATTTTTCAGAAATATTCAGAAATATTCGGAAAGTTCACATCTTCTCTCAGAACTTCTCATACAAGTGAATTCTGAAATATTTTGAAATTTTTCATCCCATAATTTTTAAAAAGTATTTTTAAATTTTTTAGATTTTGTAACATTTCATCAGAAATTATACTTACAAAAAAATCTTAAAAATCTTATGATATTTCATAATTAACATATATAAAAAATTCTGAGAAAAGATGTAGATTTTCTGAGAAATGTTCCAATTTGTATAAAAAATTTGAGAAAATTATTAGTAAATTATAGAGTAAATCATAGAGAAATTCTGAAAAATTATGTAGAAATTCTAAAAAATTATATGAAAAATTCTGAGAAAAATTTTTATCAAGATTCTCTCATTCTTTTCTTTTTTCACTTTGCCTTATGAGAAATATTCCAGGTAAAAGCGTATTAGTCGCCCTAAAAAGAGCGGATTGCTTTCGATTATCTTGAAAAGAAAGGATTGTTTTGAATGCTGAAAAGAGCGAACTGCTTTAGACGCCCTGAAAAGGATGGAAGAAAAAATTTTATAAAAGATGTTCAAAAGAATCACCATCCATCATAATGCAAGCTTGTATGCGCGCGTCTCAACAAATTTCTTTGTATATTTTCCATAACATCCTTTTCGATAGTCCATATGGCATATCGCAATCTTGTTTCTAGATCTTCTGCATCTTCAAGAAGTGTTTTATAAATTAACTCTTTGCAATAGCCCCAGAAAAAAAAATCCAGAGGATTGAGGTCTGGAGATCTTGCGAGCTAACGTATTGGCCCATACCGTCCCATCCACCGTCTCAAAAATTGCTCGTTTAAATAAGCCGTCACAATAGGATCCTCCACGATTTTTAAATTTTCACTTTAAATGAAAGTTGAAATGCTAAAAACAATTATTATAATACAATCACAATATGCATTAAAAATAATTAAATGTGTTATTTTTATTGTATTAAAAATTACAAGCATGTTAAACACAGTTATTTTCACGCGCCGAATTATGACGTGACGTCATAATTCGATACAGCTGCCTTACAAACATTTCAAAATGAGTGAAAACATGCAAAAGATAACGAAAAAATGTTATACAAGTGGTGCTTTGTTCCCTTATGTAAAAGTACGACTGTTTCCACGCCTTCAAAAGTATTTGTATCGATGCCAAAAGAAAATATGAGGAAAAAATGGTTCGAGATCGCAAGACGCGACGATGCTTTGTCTATATCATTAAATATCAGCATGTTTTGCTGTGAAAATTATTTTTACGTAAGTTTAAATATTATTTTTAAAATTAGTTAACAAAACATAATTCACAATTCAATTTACAGTTGCAAGAGGATATAGAGAACTATATGAGAGTATGGTTTGATCCAGATACATCTGTACGACTAAGAAAAGGAGTATTGCCTACAATATTTGATGGTCAACTTGATAGACAACGTTATCATTTAAAACGTGAACGTCCAGGAATTCTAAAATGTCAGAAAATAGAAAATTTAAATGAAATCCTACAAACTAAATCGGTTGATAAGGCTTGTGGACACATAATAGATAAATCTGTTACTAAAGAGCCAGACGTCAATATTGGTAATTATAGATTGATGATTATATTTTACATATAGTTGAATTACATAATATAATATTGAATAATATTTATAATGAACTTGTAGATAATTCTTCATCAATTGAAGATAAGAGCATCGAAAGTAATTTAAATAATCTTCAAAATACAAGAACATCGGCATTCAAGCAAAATTTGCTACAAGTTCGAAAAGTAATGCATAGCAAATACGTACAAAAACTGTTAAGCTAGATGCTTGTTATGTAACAGAACAGAAATACATGATTCAATAGAAGCAAAAAGTGATATAATCTTCATCGACAACCAGTACTACTATAACAAGTAATCATGATGATACACTTAACGACTGCGACGATGGTGAATATCTACCATACGAAGAAACAAACAAAGAGATAGTGAAACAAAATATGTATGAACAGAAGAAATTTGCGAGAAATTAAAAAATGACACTTATTATAAATAAACCAAAAATGTATTTGGGTATTTCGAATGATACTTTCTTTTTAATAAAATTATTAAGTCAAAAACAGAAATTACAACAGAAGAAATTTGCTTAACACTTTATAAAATTAAATTAAATGATACTTTTGCAAGACTTGGCAATGAATTTGGAGTTAGTGCTAATAATGCAAGTGCTGTTTTTCGAAGAACTCTTCCTATTTTAGCATTATTTAAACAATTAATAGTTTGGCCTTCAAAACAGTCTTTAAAAATAAATTTACCATTTCGTGCTCGATACAATGATGTTCAATCAATAATCGATTGTTTAGGAATTAAAATTCAGAAGCCTAGATCTACGGTGAATCAAAGTGTAACTTGATCTGATACAAAAAATGAATACATTAAAGTACTTAATATCTATGTCAGCGGATGATTTGATTTCATATTCGACGATTTTTGTGGAAGAACGTCCAATGCTATTATCGTTGAACAGAGTCAATATTTAAATAAGCTACCGGAAAACTGTGATGATCATAGCTGATCGAGGCTTTAAGAATATTGAATATCTTCTAAGAAGGAAAGTGTACTCTTATTCGACTGCCGAGTGTATCGAGTATTTTAAAATTAACAAAGAATGAAGTGCTAGAAACTCGTCGGATTGCTAGCTTAAGAATTCACGTAGAAAGAGTCATTAGAAGAATAAGAGAATTTATTCTGAAGCCTCATTCTTCAATCCATTATGAATTATTAGACGATAGATGATATAATCATTGGCTGAAGGATTAATTAATTAATATTCAATTACCGCTTATAGCACAATAAATTTTGAAAATACTTTCATTTTTATTTATATTCCATATTACATATATTTATCCATATTATTTTTCTATTCACATTTTTCTTTCCATTGAGAAGTAAGGGAAAAATATTTTATTATCCAAAAAGTCATCATTTTGTATAATCTCCTTCACAAATGTTTCACCGTACTGTACGCAAGTTACAATCTCTTGCGATGTTTCGCCATATAAAAATAACCTTTTTTAATGTTTTTCATAAACATTTGCAATTAAATTTGTGCAAAAAATTTTAATCCTATGCGCTGGTCTTTTGTAATGTATCTCACTTACAGAAAATTTTACTTTCACGACAAAATCTTCTTCTACTGCGTCAGGAGAAGCACCAATTATAGGAAAATTAGGATTCAACAGTAATCCAGTGCGATGTAATCGAGTTTGCAAATTTTCTTCCAATATCTTTAATACTTCCAGTTCCAAGCGTCTTCCTCTTTCCATTGCATCGATATCTCTTATTTTAAGAGCACTAATTATTTCTTCAACTAAAGTGACTTGCGGTTTTTTACAATGTGCAATTTCGTAAATTCGAGATGCTGTTATTCTGTATATATTTTAATTCTTTCCACATTGTAGATTGATTTTGATCTATCGTATCCTTCCAAAGATCATATAGTCATTTCGATACTTGCAAAGCTTAAAAAATTATCTATTTTTACGTATTAGTATTACAAAATCGTAACATTAACGCATGCACTGATAGATCTTTGTTTTGATTTGAATTGTATAAAATGTCTTGAAAGTTGGCAGTTGAATTTTATCTTTTCCTCATCTGATAGTGTGGTTGTGAGGTGGGATGCTATATCTAAGAAAACTAAGATTCCTTTGGACGAGTTTCTGATAGCCTTTCGTATGGTTCTGAATTCGACTTTTTTCATTTTTAATAAAAAAATATATAAACAGATTTTTGGGACCCCAATGGGTTCACCTTTGTCACCGGTTGTTGCAAGTATTGTTATGCAGGATTTCGAGAAGATGGCGATTGGAATGCTGCCTTGTCGTTTGTTGTTTTACTACCGATACGTCGATGATATTATCTTAGCCGCTCCTTCTGAAAGTATTTATGATATTTTGGATGTTTTCAATTCATTACATACTAGATTACAGTTCACCATGGAGATAGGTGATGGAAGAATAAGTTATTTAGATACGATGATAATTATCGATGAACGGAATCTCATTTTTGATATTTACCGTAGAGCAACCTTTTCCGGCAGATTTCTTAATTTCCATTCACACCACCCGCTCTGTCATAAAAGAGGTGTGATTTATGGGGCCGTGGATAAGATATTTTGTTT